GGAAACAATACACCGCCCAAAAACAAAAATTCTATATTTTCATTATGCTATTATATTTTATCTCTTTTTTTTAAGAGGTTTACAATTTAAGGATGAGGGATTCGAATCTTACTTTTAAATTATAAATATGTTTTTTTATAAATTAATTTATAATTATTAAATCATAAGGATTAAGTGTGTTGTATTTTACCTTTTAATCATTTTTTTATTGAAATTTTTACACTTTGTACTTTGAGTTTGAGAAAGTTGAGGCCTACAAGCCGGGTCGTGACGCGGTGCGTTTTATCCCAAACGCCAAGGAACGACAATAATGCAGTTGGTTGGTTCTTGGTACTTGGTAGGGCCAAATACTGACATAGGAGGGACAGAAGCTGTAGACAGGTCTCTCCAAGTCTCTACTTCTACAATGAAATTCAGGTCACTTGTTTTAGCTCGGAACTTTACATATGTTGGTTGGGTCTTGTTTTCCGTATGTCCGTGGATTTTAATAATTAAATTAATATGTGTTATAAAATAAATTGAATAAAAAAATAAATTGATTGTTTTCTTTTCAAATTTCTACCAAGCAAAGCATGTGAGATATGGGGTACGTAAAACGCCATTTAACAGGAGACTTTCTCAGTTCGATGCAACCTATATATGCATAGCATTTCTTAGGTCCTCAGCATAAGCTTTTGTGATCACATGCAAAATTCTGCGGTCAGAAAATGACATGAAGAATACACACTCTCAAAATTTACAAATACGTTTTCACTTTTCAGAGCAAATGTAGGACCTGGGTTTCAGACGCGAAACCTCCACCCACCAACAGTGGGCGTCACGGGGACCAGATACAGACATTAATATCGACGAATTGCCCAAAAGTGGAAACAGACCCATTTAACTGCGTAGGATGAGATGGGAGAATCCCGAAGTTGCTTCCATATCTTCACAATGAATGTTCTCATTAATTTCCATTCTACGTGGCGTGTTTATACCTTCAAAAATATCGTCTAACATTTTAATTTATGAGGTGGTTGATTTGATGTTTCGTGTCTGTACTTACGTTCACAAAATCGGTTTTTTTTTTTTTACTCACTTTATTTTAGAATAAGAAATTTTATTTTACAATTTATATTATAAAATAATAAATATTAAATAAAAAATTTTAATATTTAAATATTTTTACTTAAT